TTCAACGTAGAATTTTCTTTTCTCTTTGCATTCATTTTCTTCCTTTGAATTTTGTTTTGCTTTTTGTTGTCTGAGACAGGGTTTCTCTGTTGATGAAGATACCATGTAGAGCAGGTTGGCCTTGAACTGACTGAGATGTCCCTGCCTCTACCTCTAGAGTGATTTGAATGAAGTTGTGTGTGATTGCTGACTGGCTCAAGGTTTTATTTTCCAACTAAACTGGGTGAATATTTGAGGTAAATCAAGTAACTATAAAGAGTTTTCTCATGTAGCCCAGGTGGTATCCCATGTGATGGCTGTATGGTGTATGTTAGAGGCCAGTGTTAAAGTGAAGTTTTCAGGACTAACTTCTAATCAGTAGTTATTCTCATTAAATAACATTGTTTTGAATAAAACATAAAGTGTATCTTAGGATTTGCATTTCAAAACGTCAAAACTTTAAAATCCAGGGAGTAGGATGGGTGGGGGTGACACACACCTTTAACCCCAGAAATTGGAAGGAAGCAGAAGATGGATCTCTATGATTTCTTGGACTATCTTAAATTTAGAGTGACTGTCAGAGCAGGTTCCAAAGGTAAATAAAGACACATTTTCATAAAAACAAAAAAATAACAGTATTAGATATCAGTCTGTATTATTGTATTCTGTGGTGTAGGAGTAAGGTTCAGTGAGTGAGAGAAATTCTTTCTTTACCATGGATGTGTACATCAGTTCACAACTCCCAGAACTGGTTTACAACAATTTATTTACAGTTGGTCTGTATCTGAGTCCATCATCCGGTCTCCTAGGGTCTTAAGCATGTCCGTGTTGTAAATGCACATTTACTGGCCACAAACATATGCACAGAACAAAGAAGAGCGGGCTTGTTGACCTTTAAGCTTGTCATTTTATTCCTAGCACATCTTTTAAGAATATAGTTCAAATGAGAACCCTGATGTCAGCCTCTATTCCCCTGGAGATGTAACCATTCGAGATCTCTGAGCTTGTGAGATGGCACATCCAAACTCCTTGTCACCAAGCTTAAGGACCTGAATGTATTTCCTTTATTTATTTAAACAGTATAAGGGCAGCCTGGTCTACACAACAAGTGACAGACAGACTCTAAATCTACAGAGAGAATCCCAGCTGGAGAAACGAAACAACAACAACAATAATAAAGCATGTAATAACATTTTTTCAATCTATTTCTTATATTTCCTTCTTTATGACCCAGTGTTTGGTGTTCCTGTAAAGATCTTACAAGAACCTAGAAAAGTGCTCAGTCAATGATCTGCACCAGGCCCTGCTTGGTCAAATTTGACTTTGATTCAGTGTTAGGTAAACTACTTGTATATGTCAGAATGTTTCCTATAACTTGCACCAGCAAACAAGTAATAGAACTCCTGGTTAATCTCTTTTTCTGCAACTGGGAGTGGCTTTTGAAGAAATCTGAGGTTTCCCTGGTAGAGAGTAACACAGGTGAGTTACTCACACAAAGAGGCCAAACCTGTCCACTGCACACCCATTTACCCTAGGACCTATCTGTGACCAGAAACTAAGCCACCATTGGGGACATGTCTTTAGCCTTTGCAAGAAATTGGGGGAAATTGTGGGGAGTGGAGAATCCATTTACCTTACAGGATCAGATAGAGGTAGGTAGATAGACTGGGTGGTGTCACCATTCCTGAAATATTGACAGATGGAAGGACTAAGGCTGACCAGGCCCTTCCCCATCAAGACAGAGTGACCAATCACAGCACTGGATTCTCATTTGAAATATATTCTTAAATAATATATGGCCTATAGGCAGCATGAAATAAATGGCTTTTTTTTTTACAATTAACAGTTGATCTTTGCAACGTTTCATTTCTTAGGCCCATTTAATATCTATGCATATCCAGTTGCTACTACAATGTATTGCCTTGGGAGTGGAGACTGGAGGACCAGGACTTGAAGGCCAGCCCTGACTACATAGCAGATCCAAAGGGATACAAGAATCCCTACCTGAAAAAGAAAAAATGGATTAAGATATAAAAGACAAAATCCTCTATCTAGGCCGAGTGTTGGTGGCACAAGCCTTTAATCCCAGCACTCAGGAGGCAGAGGAAGGCAGATCTCTGAGAGTTTGAGGCCACCCAAGTCTCCACAATGAGTGCCAGAACAGGATCCAAAGCTACACAGAAACCTTGTCATGAAAAAAATAAATAAATAAAAAACAACCCTATCAGAGTATCTAGGTGTTCAAACTCGAACAATATTCACATATCATTAAAGTTATCAAAGGCTACCTAAGAGGCAGTCTGCAGGCTACAGACTTTTAATCCCAGCTACTGCTGGGGAAGCTGCATGAGGAGAAGTGCAGGGAAAAGGACATCCTGGGTTATTTATTTAAATTATCATATCATCTGCAAAGAGTGAAATTTGACTTTTTCTTTTTTATATTTAATTTCTTGATCTCATTTTGTTGTCTAATTGCTCCAGTAGAACTTAAAGTGCAATATTGAAGAGGCATGTAGAGATTGGTTAGCCTTCTCTTATTCCTGGATAAATTAGATTTTTTCCCAAGAGATTAATTTTTATTAGATCAAATTAGAAACAATCCTGCTTTACATGTCAATCTCTTCTCTCTCATCTTCCCCTTCACTCTATCACCCAGTAGCCACCCTCCTCATTCCTCCTCAGCTCCCCAGGGAGGGTAAGTCCCTCTCTGGGGGTTCCTCAAAGTCTGTCATATCGTCCTGTTCAGGGCCTTGGCCCTCTCCATGTGTCCAGGCTGAGTGAGCATCCCTACATTTGGGATGTGCTACCAAATTCCATTCTCTGCCATGGGTAAATACTGATCCACTACCAGGGGCCGCATAGAGTGCCAAGGCCTCCTCATTGACTTCCACATTCAGGTGTCTGGACCAGTCACTTGCTGGCCTCCCAGAAATCAGTCGGATGTCCATGTGCTCCCCCTTGTTCAGGTCAGCTGCTTCTGTGGCTTTCACCAGACTTGTCCTGTCCTATTTCATCTTCACTCCTCCCAATCGGCAAAAGGTCCAATAGTTCAGTGTTTAGGTGTGGGTGGCTGCCTCTGCCTCCATCAGATACAGGATGAGGGCTCTATCATGGCATATATGGCAGTGATCAGTCTCATTTCAGGGGAAGGGCATTTAAGGTAGCCTCTCCACTATTGCCTAGATTGTTAATTAGTGTCCTCAGGTAGATCTCTGGAAATCTCCCAAGTGCCAGATCACTCCTAGAACCTATAAGGCTTTCCTCTATTATGGCATATCTCATCCTGCTCTCCTCTTTTTCACCCCCTGACTCAACCTTTGTGCTCTACCTTTTCCTCCTCTCCCTGCCTCTTCACCCCTCTCATTCCCCAGATCCTTCTCCTGTACCCTCATCCTTCAAACTAGCTCAGGAGTGCCCACCACTAATCCTTCTCCAAGGTCCATGCATTCTTCTCTTAGAGTCCTTTTTGTTTCCTAGTTCCTTTGGTGATAAGGTTTGCAAGCTGTCATATCCCTTTCTCTATGTCGAAACTTCATATATGAGTGAGTACATACGATGTTTGTCTTTTTGTGACTGGGTTACCTCACTCGGGATGGTTTCTTTTACTTCAATCCATTTACCTGGGAATTTCAAGATTCCATTGCTTTTTTTCTTCATTGTGTAAATTTGCCACATTTTCTCTATTCATTCTTCAACTGAGAGGCATCAAGGTTGCTTCCAGTTTATGGCTTTTACAAACAATGCTGCTATGAACATATTTGAACATATGTCAATTTGTTTGAATGTGAATACTTTGGGTATATTCCTGAGAGAGGAATTACTGGATCTTGAAGTGGAGTGATTCCCATTTTCCTGAGAAATCACTACACTACTTTCCAAAGTGGTCT